TGGTTCGTTAAGCTGGCTGGCTGGCTGGCTGGCTGGCTGGCTGGCTGGCTGGCTGGCTGGTTGGTCGGTACATGTCTGCCTTGATGATGACTAGAGAACTCCAAGCCGTTTGCTCCTCACAGTGGACGCCTCAGCATTGGCGGACATCAAACGCAAATCCAAACACTACGTGTCCCAAATCCGGTACAGCTCAATTCGAATAAATTTGAAGGACGTTGAAGTATCGTGAATGTTCCTTGCAAACCCCGAGAATCCTTACATCATTCGCAGTGCCGCTTAGCGGCTTGGAAGGTTGCTGATTTTGCTGCCACCTTGTGTGAGAAAATCGGCGACCCCCTCAAACAGGAATCCTTCACTATAAGAGGGGGTCGATCATTTTTCCGCAACAGCTGGCCAAGAGACCCCCGTGTCCTTGCTGGGCTTGCTTCGCTGCTTCGCTTGTCCATGATATACCGTAATTCGCGCGCCTCTACCGGCCAGGTCACTGCGGAGACGACCGATGTAGGCGGGTGGTTCGAACGAATGCGCGTGAACCCGCAAGGCAAATGCCTAGCCTGTGGCCTCCTTGATGGGGAACCCGCATAGTTCATTTCTTGGTGGTTCCCAACCATCCCTAGGGTTTTTGGGATTTTTAGTTGGTTTCGTGGCTTGGGTTTGCGAATTCAAGCCACGAAAAGTTCAACTTTTTAGGGGATCTGAAAACGGACAGGCCAGGTTTCGAAAACCCCTTGAACTTCAGGCTGAGGACCACGTTTGGATCAATTGAAGCTTAAACCTTTTTTGCCCCACCCCAACTTTGGAGCCCATTTCGAGTCCCAGACCCGTCACGACCTGGCCCCGAATCGGGCATGGCTTGTTTGCTCACCGAAGCCACCTGTCGCTTTTGCGGGAAGAAGAATCGATGTCCAACCGCCCTGAACTATTGGATGTGAGCTTTCAGGTGAAAGACGCCAGGTTTTGCAGGACCTGCTTTTGCAGTTGCCCTTTGAGAAGGACACAATCCCCATGGCCCCATGGCTGGTCGTTGTGCCCGAATCGCCCCGAATCGACTCAGACCTTCTGGACACAAAGGTGTTTTTGTTTTTCTCCGGAATACCTGTTTTCAGCGGGTTTAAAGGGAGACCAAAAGGGCAACCACCATTTTGGGTCCGCTAAAAGAAGACACACCCAAATGGCTGTGCCATTAAACCTACACAGGGTTGGACCTTTTGGGGGCTGAGATCGATCGGACACCCCGGCCTGCCCAATGGATTACCTGGTTTGCCTTGTGGCGTCCTACGAATTCCGGACTCCGTTTTCAACAAAACAAGTTTTGGTCATTCAATTGTTGTAAGAGGGGGGGTGCCCAACATGGCAACAATCGAACCAACAAGAAAGATCATATCTTGGGATCATGAGCAACATGTTGTGAACAATCGCTTCGGGATTCGAATGTTGAGCCCTCAACTAACCTTTTGGCTTCCCAATTGGATCCGTAGTCGTTTGGTTCCAAGCGGTGCACCTTTGATTTCCGCTTCGTTTGGGCAGGTGAGCCACAATCAAAACCCGGGCAGATGAAGGTTAGTAAGGGCCAGTCCCAGCCGGAAAGAGTTGCGGAATTCCGCCTTAATTCTTGAAGCATGGTTCTGGGATTCCGAGCATTTTAATCACCCGGGTGAGCAAGTGACTCAGGTGAGCACCCGGGTCTCGAGCCCACTCTTTACTCAACCCGTGCCAGGCACTACGGAGACGGCGTGGCCCTGAGGTTTAGAGAAGAACTTGGCGCCCGAGACGTCTTAGACGGGGTAACCATTCAGGCACTGGACACTAATATGCTTTCAGTACATGTATATTATATATATATATAGCATTATTATTATTATTAGTATTATTATTATTATTATTATTATTATTATTATTATTAGTATTATTATTATTATTATTATTATTATTATTATTATTATTATTATTATTATTATTATTATTATTATTATTAGTAGTAGTATTAGTATTATTATTATTATTATTATTATTATTATTATTATTATTATTATTATTATTATTAATATTGTTATTATTATTATTATTATTATTATTATTATTATTATTATTATTATTATTATTATTATTATTATTATTATTATTATTAGTATTATTATTATTATTATTATTATTATCATTATGTTTATATATTATTATTATATATTATTATTATATGTCATCATCATCATTATTATTATTATTATCATTATTATTATTGTTGTTGTTATTGTTATTACTATTATGTTTATTGTGTTTATTATCATTATTATTATTGTTATTACTATTGTTACTATTGTTATTATATTTTTGTTATTATTTTTTAATATTGATAATTGTATTATTATACATATATATAGATATACACATCTATATATGTATATATGTATACACATGCATTTCCCGTGACTCAACGAGCCTCGAATGATCATATATCTTTCGGATGGGGTCGTATCCCCAAGACACAAGGTGCAACAAACAGCGACACCTATGGGGCTGAGATGGTCATCATGTTGGTTTCTCGTTTTATCACTTCGGTTTCCCAAAGCATCCGCCATGTTTGTTCCGGGTCCTTAGGGCTGCCAGTTCCGCCGGAGTGCAAACCGCAGCTGCGTCTCCGACTTTGGCAAACACTTTTTTTGGATATGGTCACGTCGTTGTGTGAGGGTACCTGTGTTTTTGTGGTGTTGATTGGAAACCGAAAGAACAACCACCCATATTGGAGATGCATTCGGGCCTGGAAGAAAGGCGTGCGGTATCCTCTGGTGCCTGGTTTTACCTTGCGGTCAGAAGCCCAAAGTTTCCTGAGCCTTCGAGAGCCCCATTTGCTGCAAAGGGGTTGCAGCTGAACGAAGGTTGTGAATCAAACGTATTTGGGGGCCCGTTCCAGCAAAGGCTTGGATGTGCAATCGTTTCCTTGGCTTGGTTTCAAGAGGACACCGGAGTTTGTGTGTTTTTCCCCCGTGGGTCCAGCTTGGGTTTTGGGGGTCTTCAAAACAAAAACACCTCCGGGGCTTTCTTACGTCGTCCAAAGGGTTTCGCCTTGAAGCCTAGCTCCAATGCATGGATGCACCGAGGTGGAGGTACCCGTGCCAGGCCGATCTGCAGGTGGGCGTGGTGTCCGGATCGGGGGAAGGTCGAACAAAACGCCTGTGCCGACCGATCGCCCCCAGTAGTGCCCTTTTACCCTTTGTTGGGGGGAAGGTTCCCCTACTAAAGTAGACTACAGAAAAAAGGGTACCCTTATCCTAACCTCTCTACTGGAGGACCTGGCTCAAAAGGGATCCGGATTCCCTCTCACGTGGGACACTGATGAAACTCGGCCAGGGGGATGTGAAAATATAGAGCTTCCAGTTGCCACGGGAATAGGGCGACATCAGAAAAAATACATCTCGTTTGTGGTTGTTAAGAAAGAAAAACCGCAGGAAAAAGCAAGGGGGATGAAAGATTCATCAGCTTTCCAGAAGCCCAGCCTACGTACATTGAACTCCAAAGCCCCGGGTGTTTCCAGGAATCTCCTTTCCCCGGCCAGTCTTCATGTCCTCCGCGCTGGTGTCGCCCTCGGAGATGCCGGCACGGGGCCTCGGGCCTGGGAGCGCAGGTGACTTGCTCTCAAAGCGGTAGATGAAGGTTGCTAGGTCCCCCAGCTAGGTGCCCTTTTACCCTCTTTCTTTTTGGTTGCGAGGGTTTCCCTACTAAAATAGACTACAGAAAAAAGTTGGGTACCCTTGACCAACTGTTTCTAACCAACCTACTAAAACACCTAGGTTGGTACGGGACTCTGCCAGAAAAAGTGGGTGCCGCTTTTTTTTGCTCACCAAGCCTGAGTTATTTTTCCTTGAGAAGACCATTTTAGTGGTGAATAGAAAGTTTGGGCTTTTCCTAGCCAATCCACTCAGGAAGTGAGTTTATTTTATTTTCTTCCATAAGGGGACTCATCACAGTTACCCCGGTTGCAACCTGATCATACCTTGCTAAGTTGGTTGAACATCCAAGTGCATGGCGAGCGACTACACCAATCCAGGGGTGAAACGAGCAAAAGCAATGATGTAGCTGGAGTCTTCCAGCATAAATTCATATTTTAGGCTAAATATATGGCACGCAGTCGATTTTCTGCGTACCCCAGATGTGGGCCAAGGTAGGTCCGTTGCTTAGGACCCTGCAGTTCACATCAGTTCACAAGGGGTCAATGTTTTCCTACTTGGAACAATTCTAGGATTAGTTTCCTCTTGGCAGGGTACTGTTCAGGGAAATATGGGGGTTTCTGGGATTTAAATTTACAAAAATTTCAGACCAAGGGCAAGACAACGGAAAGCTGAGAGCCACAGACACTCGGGGGACACAAGGCAGACCTGGGCAAGGCATCGTATTCGGGTCTTGTTTTGGGAGAAACCAGCGCGAAAGGGGGCGGGGGGGCGAGGAGGGGGTCGTAAACCTTAGGATAGGTAGGGGACAGCTCCCTCCTCGGAAATGGCCATGGGGTCAAAATCCCGTACCCCCGGTGAACATCCCAATCCCCACTAGAATAGGTTCTAAAATGGGCGGTGAATTCACCTACCCCAAAATGGGATCCCAAAACGGTTTTGACCACCAACAGCCAAATCGGTGTGGACATCAATGACTTCCTTTTTCCTCATGGGGTTTCGTTGGACTGAGGCTTGGACTCTGCCCAAAGCCCTAAGCCAACCGCGCCATTTCAAGCGGCACCAAAAGGCTAGCCGTTGATTTCTCCAGGTTTGGGCAGCAAAATAAGACCACACGAAAGCCTGAGAAAACCCAAAGAGCGGAGAAGGAGAGCAAAGAAGCCTCAAGACATGGGCTTGTATTCTTTTTTGAGGGTCCCCTTGGAAAGGATAGTTCAAAGGTAAACAGGCAAGCACTCCGCTGGTGTCCTCCAATTTTGACATACATGCTTCAGATGGAAACCGCATCGGACACCACTTCTCTGCGCCGATTCGGAGCCGATTCGGAGTCGATTTGAGGTGCCTACAGAGATGCCGACCTCTCCACGCGCAGAGGCGGCAGTTTGGTTTCAGTGGGACTGTACTCTTCACGACCCCGTGCCAAGAGTAATTTGAAACTCTCTTTAGTGGGCTAGGTCCCCCAGTAGTGCCCTTTTACCGTTTCTTTTTTGGGGGGAGGGTGCCCCTACTAAAGTAGACTACAGAAAAAAAGGGTACCCTTATTCTACCCTCTCTACTGGAGGACCTAGTCGGACATCGAGAAATTCGGGGTCTGACTTGGACTTTGCTGGATCCAGCATTGCCAATTCTAACTGTCCAGGTACTCCAAGTCTTCCAGTTGCTGAAGAATATGCGTCTGTTTTTCCCTGTTGGGTTCAAAGGTAATCAATCCTTTCTTTTTGATGGAGGAAAAGCCTTGGGCAAAATCGAAGGCGGTGTAAAAGGGCCTGGAACAAAAATGAGCAAAGTGCCCTGTGATTCGTTGGGATATGAAACCCTCTTTTGTAAGCGTCTACTTACTTCAGAATATGTGTTTGCCCCCCTTTTTTTTTAACGTGAATCTATCACTACTGGATTGCTTGTTTATACTTTCTCCAAGAAACTTAAGACGATGGAGGTAAGAAAGCAAGCAAAACCGCTTTCAGGTGGTGTGTTTGGAGGCGTGAAGGTGCTGAAACACGAATTGTAGCATTTGTAGAAGGGGTATACTGATCCAATCCGCTTGCGGTAGTTCGTGTATCCCCCCTGATAAGTTCTTGGCAATCATAGTGACTTGAGCGATTTGCCTGAAGGTTCCTTCATGAGCGGACCTTTTGCAGGTGGATTGTTAAATTCAGCCATACGTCTTGTTTTTTAGTACCTTCCATGCACTACCGCATCTGTTCGAGTGCCCTTTTGGCAGTCCCCCGTTGGTTTCATTTGCCGAAATGAGCTGGGGAGCATGACACCATGCTCCTACAAATCTGTTGCCTTCAATCTTGGCTGGATTTGGAAGGACCCAACAAGGTTTTGGGGAACATTTGAAGGCAGGTTCTTTTTGGAGCACGCTGACAGTTTGAGACTCACCACCAAAAAGGACCACCACATGTTTGGTCTCCTATCAATTAACTCGCTTGAAACTCATCGTCTCGCTGAAGCTTTTTCCTCTTTGTTTTCGGCGCGCCCAGCCCAAACGGGTGTGCAGCTCTGGTGGATTTGGGCCCAAAAGGCTCTTCGCAGAGCTCGTTTTCCAGCCCTTCAGGTGCCAACCTTGGATGCCACGGTCGTCTCAGGCTCACCCTTGGGAGGTTCTCCGGCCGGCTGTTTGGGTTACAGACGATTTGTGAAGTCCTTGGCTGTTTGGGGGGTTTTAGGCCATCTTTGTCCTATCCAGTGATTAAGAGAAGAGACACAGGGCGGGGAAAAGATGGAGTGAAGGAAAGGGACATATGTTGATATGTGTTGGTGATATATCTGCAATATCCTTCGTTTCATGTCCATACTTTTACGAGTCAGTGATGTTCCGTGAGCCACCTATTCATCTGGGAAGCCCAAAGACTCCGCGAAGCGGTGTGCTCTGAAGCTGAATGATCTGACAGCCTTCAGCTAGCCTATTCTCAGTTCCTGACCCTGGCCAATTTTTGGCTGAGAGGCTGAAGGGGTCCAAAGGATAGATGGAGGGGTTCTCCTGAAATGTCAACAACAAGTTATCGTTCCCATTTAGCATTTGTGGGCTGGCAAACAACACTGGCGGTTCTTTGCCGCTGGATCGAAGAATAGGAGTGTGACAAATACCTGGGTTCATGACTAGAACCGGGCTACTGCTACCAATGAAGGCCAGCCTTTCAACTTTCGGCAGGGCGCTGGGTTTCGCATTGGACAGAAGTTACCGCAGGCAGCGTGTTGTGCCTTTCCCCCCTTTCTGGGTTTTAGTGGAAACTCAAAGCTTTGCGCTCAAAGAGCGTTTCCACACTTTGGTCGGGCAGCAGTCGAGGCTTCTCCCACAAAGCAGCAAGTCGTAAACCCTGGTTGATTCTCTTTGGAGTCCCCCAGAGCATGGCAACATATCTCATTATTTTTGAGGCAGGGTTTACTGGTCAAGAACCAGCTCAGGTTTTCAGTGGTCAAGAAACAGTTCAGGTTTTGCTTGGCGCATCCAATCAGGAAGTGAGCACATTGCAGGGAGGGATGTGAAGGGTGGGATCCAGTGAACACCGCAGTGGTTTTGCCAGTTTCTGGCGCACCTAGAAGCAAACAAATGGACGCCAACGCAGACAGACGCTTGCAGAGCGCGCAAGGCACAGGCCCGACGCAGGCGCGGCGCCCAGCGGCCCTGCTTATTTGTTTGAACCTATCGGTGCGGTTGGCAAACGGATAATTATATAGAGACGTATCTGGATTTTTTAATGTTTTTTTTTTTTGCAGAACATGATTTTGATTTATAGTTGTTGTTTCATATATTTGCTGCATGCAACAGCTTTGTCTGTTCAGCCGCTTGTGAGGAAGACCATTCCGATCCGTTCCGCGCAAGTCGACCACTGCTGTTGACCTGAAGCTATCCCTTGCGCTGTTGCATAGTGGGAGCTCAGTGTTCTTCAACCCTTGGTTGATGAATAGGGTGTCGAGCAGTTTTTCATGTTTCTATTCTCAATGTAGTTACACAACCCAGGTCCACTGGGTTGATTGCGTCCGATGGAGTCCTCGGGGTCATGAATCTGGATACGAATTCACAGGTTCCACTTGGGGTTCGTTGGATTGCGGCGGTCCTCGAAAATTCCGCACACATTGAAACAGGGACGCCTGAAAGGGGATTGTCCCCACCTTAATTGGGGCCAAGTTTGTGTTCAGAAGGTCAAAGGGTAAGACCTGATTGTTGCTTTGGTCCGCACGGAGAGGAGTCCACTTGAGATGATCTTAATGTTCCTAAGACCAGCTTTGCCCTAAATGGTTTAGACTGGCAAAAACAGACGAAAAACCGAAAACGCTGGCCGGTTTTACGGTGACCTTTCCCAGGTCCGCGAAGAAAATTTCGCTTTTGGGATTCGCTTATTTGTTGTTGGTGAGTTATTGTGACTTACCCAGAACTACATTGCAACAAAGAATTGCTCTTGGCTGGATGCAATGCCGATCCCTCAACAGAACCTCTCCAGACAGGGGTGTGCTTGAGGTCTTGTTTGTTGATTTACCAGTGCCATCCACTTGTGCAGAAGAATACCCAGCGCATTTCCTGGTTGATATTTTTGTCTGTCTAACTGGATCCATTGTTCCATTGGATACGCTTACTGATTGTTATATACTCACTTTCGGTTTCAGAATGTGTCAGGTCAAAACTAGGGGCCCCATTTGGCAGACTGCTGATCCGCCTATAGAGGAGGGCTCAAGCATGTGGCCACGTCCTTTTGAGGACTCCCGGTGTCGAAACTTGTCGGTTCCCTGCAAAAGAGGTTTGGAGTTTGGGCGTGCGGTATGGCCTATGGGCGTTTTTTTTTTTTTTTGTGTGTGTGTGTGTTTTTGGGGACCCCGACAATCGGTTGGTTTCCTTTCGCGCAACCTCCAAAAAACAAATCTTACCAATGTTTAGCCTTGGCCAACGAACCAGGTGGCAACTCATCAACCAATGTTGACCACGAAGTGATAGCCTTTCGCTGTCATCAATCAGAGGGTCCGGAACAAAATAAGTCTCCACTACAAACGGCCCCCCTGGGTTATTGTTCAGCTGGGTGTGGCTCAACATTAATTAGCTAGGGTTACGTCTAATCTTTGTTTCCATTTGCCAATGGGCCATTGTGGGTCCCATTCTTGTGAGCCACAGCCAGCTGTCAACATTACGGAGAAAACAAAAATGCGAAGCTCGCGCGCGTGCCGTAGGAGGTGCCTGTTCCGGGCGGCTCCGGCACGGAAGCCCAGAACAGGGTCGGGCCAACCTCTGGCTGAAACCTAGAAAAGGTAAACCCAGACAGTTGTGTCCACCTTTTCTAGGTCCCCCCAGCTAGGTGCCCTTTCTCACCGTTTCTTTTTTGGTTGGGCGGGTTCAAACCTACTAAAATAGACTGCAGAAAGGGTACCCTTATTCTAACCTCTCTACTGGAGGACCTAGCATTGTTGTAAACCCAGACAGTTGTGTCCACCTTTTGATTTCCCTTTTCTCAAAGGGGAGGAAGGCATTGCTGCGAGCTTGTTGATCGCCTTCGCGAATGCAAACAGAGGCGGGAGTTCCAATGGTTCATGGGTCGCATTTGAAGCCTTGTTGGTTTTTGAAGGGAAATCGCCCACTTTGGCCGGGTGCCGAATACCCCAAGAGTTGTTTAGCCCCCTATTTAACACCCAAATAAATGGTTGTTTCAATACCGAACGTTGGAAGAACCCCCTCCACTCAACTGTGAAGGGTTACAAAGCCTTCTTGAGGCCAAACAGATACCGTCAACAAAACCACACCCACAGAGGTTTGAACAACTTTGAGCCTTTCTGGGGGAATCAGCACTTAGGCCTTTCTACACAAAGCAAGTTGTTTTCAGGGAGCCTACAACTCCCTTTTTGCGAGTTCCCTTTGGTGGTTGGTAATGAACAAACAGAAGCTGAAATCCTCGCACAAAGACCCCCAACTATTAAGGCCCTATTTGGCGACAAGTTTCAGGTTGGCTTTAGCAAAGTTCAAAGGAAGGCCGCCGTTTGTGGGGTCACGCTATGTTGACACCCACCTGCTGGTTCTCAGTACCTAAGACAGTTCCCACCACCCGCAACCACTACCCTATAGAGATTTTGTTTACACACATACCATTTCATCAGAGTAGGCGCGGCCATAGTTGGACGCATATTCAGTACGAGCATGGACAGTTGTTGAATGCTGTTCGTTTGGCCTCTGTCTTTGAAGGGTTTCCTTTCAGGGTTCAAAGGGTTCGATGGACTCGTCGTCGCCCGCGAGCCGTTGCGCGACCGGCGCGAGCGCCGTTGCGCGCCAGTTCCGTTCTCCTCGGCGATAGCCTCCTCGAGGGGCTCGCCGTCGGATCTGCCGGCGCGGGGCCAAAGGTGCGTGTCGACCGGGTCAAACCCAAGCGAAAGAAGGCAGCAACGATGCTTCCATTGCTTAAGAACATGTGTCATTTTCCCCTGTTGGTTTTAATAGGGAATCTGTCATACTGGATTTGTGTTTTTTCCAAGGGGCTTATATAATAATAAGCAAATGGAAGTATGCCTTAACTGAATTCTGCGTGATTCACTTTGCCCACAATAGCAGGAGCCTTCATCCCCTGAAGATGTTTTTGGAGGTAGGTTGGGGGGACGGGGTGAATAGGTGATGGAACAACCAGACACATGTAAAGCACCCCCCCTTTCCAAAAAAGGCCAATTTCAAGGGCTGTGGGATGGTGCTTCGTTGGTTTCAATACCACGCTCTGACGTCACAGCCTTGGTAAGGGCCATTGACATAGCCGGATGTATCTCTGTGGTGTTCCACTTTGTTACCAGACCCCAAGCAGAAGGTAAGGGAGCCAGAAAGAGATGAGCCCAGCAAAAAAGGCTCAGGTTTCAGAACTCGCCGTTGGGATTCGGCGAGAGGTCCAGGGGCCTCTTGCGTACCCGCAATCCTAGCTGCAGGGGTTGGAAAGAGCAGGGGAAATTCATCTACAGATTTTGCGGCTTGGAGTAAAACCAGGTAAACATGGACAAACACCACTGCTACATTATTTAGAAGCATATCCACAGAGTGGCAAAGCGTCAGAATAGTTCCAGCACCAACCAACTACTGCCCAGGGGGCAGTAGATAGAATTTCCCCCAAAAAACAACCGTAGTTAGAAAAGACTACTGTTATGTTTTATTTGCGGGATGCCCATAGTCTAACTACTGCTAGCCGTGGCAGCAAGTGCAGCAACGAGCCTCACAGCGTGTCACCCGCATGTCACCGCGTGTCACCTTGTGTTACCCGCGTGTCACTTGCGTGTCACCGCGTGACCTTGGGAAGGGGCAGGGATATAAGCTGGGTATTTTGCTGTTTGGGAAAGAACGTGAAGCAACCGTAGATCGCGGAGCTGTCTTTTATTTCATGTTCGGAACTACTGCTAAGTAGAGTGTAATCACGAACACAACCTGAAAACAGTCGTCGGAGGGTGCTGGTTGGGTTCCAACATGTTGCCTGTTTGATATGGCTCACCTGCCAGGGTCCAGGGTGGCCTCGTGGCCTTTTGACCGTTGGCTCGCGTTGCCATCGCCAGGTTCCCACGGAGATGCCCACCTCCCCGCTCTCCGTCTCGGGGCTCGAGGGGCCTACACTGGAGGTGCGGCCTTGGTTTCGGGGCGTCCGTCACCTTGGTTTGGACACGGACGGTAGGTGAAGCCACCAGGTAAACACGTACACCCAGGAATTGGAAGCCGGCCATTTTTTAAGCAAACCAACCAAAAAACAGGACACCTGTGAGGTTGCGCCGATTCGGGAAAGTGGAGGCCATATTGGCAGAAAGTGTCCTTGGATTTGGACCGGGTCCCTAAAAGAGTCGAAACCCTCTCAAAATAGTCGAAACTGAATTTGGGGGTGTCTTCTTTTGAGCAACTCCGAGGTTTTTTTTGTTGCGGTCCCCTGTGTTAAGACAAGCCCATGTCTGTCAGTTGAAGCATTCCCAGCCATGGCGGCTCTTTGGATTGGCATCATGTTGGGGTTCGGTGAGGCTGACAACAAATCAAAGGTGCAATGGTAAACCTTTCAAAGGTATAAGCACAATCGTGCGACCATAGGTAAAGGGTATACCCCTTCGTGAGGTAGCCGAGGTTAAGTTTTTTTGGATATTTGGATGTGAGTTGGAAACTATTGGTTTTACTTGTCTCCACAAGTCCAGACTCAGCCAAGGTTTCAAGATGTTCCGCCTCCTCCTTCCAGGTCCTTGCAAAAAGCGAGTAAAGAGCAGAGGTCAGGATTTCTCCCCCCCGCCACCTTCTGGCACGTGGCCTCAGGCGCCCACCGGAAGAGGAGATGTGGAGAGTGCGCCCTTCTCAGGCAGGGGGCATTGGGCATCGGGTCGTTGGCAGCTACCCTCCTAGCCAACATGGACAACGTGCCCCAGCTAGGTGCCCTTTCTCACCGTTTCTTTTTTTGAACCTACTAAAATGGACCACCGAAAAAAAGTTGGTACCCTTCTTCTAAGCTCTCAACTGGGAGACCTAGTGGATGTTCGAGAGTCCGCGTGCTGAGCCGCTGGGCTCCTCGTTTGCTGAACTCCAGGGAGGCAAACGGCCGCTTTTTGCACCCCTAGGCTCCCCTTTGGGTCGCCAAGACCTGTCAAAGCGGCCGTGTCGCGTCTGTGACCTCCGTCCCTTTGCGGCAAGCAACTTTGTTTTTGGGTGAGAGGGATACCTCTTGGCGTCTTGGTGGGTCCATCTGAGACGGGGTGGACATGAGCATGAAGCAGACCCAAATGAATGAACGCAGAGATGAAAGATTGTGTTTCACATGTCGTTGCAGTTTGCAGGGGACTCGTAACAATTGGCACCTTTGAACGATACCGATACCCTGCAACACACAAACTCCCGGCAAAGGTAAAGTGAAGGGGTGTGTTCGACACATGTTTACGAGAACAGTCTGGGATATGGCAGCCAGGCTCCAGTCTCAGAGTGTAATGGGCAAGACTGATTTAGGGGCTCCATTTCTCATTTCAGGCTGGTGAATTGAGCCACTGGCCCACACCTGCCAGAGGAGTGGCTGAACCGCAGCCGAGCATGGCATACGATTCGCTCCTAAGAAGCTGGTGACTTGTTCAACTTCAGGCCGCCTGGCCAGATTCAACATGTTGTCAGCATCAGTTGAAGTTTTCTTGGCTCATACCGCAACCTTAAGCTTGTAGATGTTTGGAGTTTGGATGGATCTACGACATGCAATGACATGTCCCACCCAAAAGTTGGCTTTTAGCCGGAATCAACGAAGCGTCTAGTGTTATTTGCCAAGCTGATCTGCTGCTTATTTTTCCCATGTGGAGTATCATGAACTAGTGGTGGGAACCGATATCTTCGTGCAAGCTCTTTTCACATGGGGGGTCAACATGGACCGCTTGTTCTCCTGTTTAGTCTCGCCATGTACCCTGGGATTACAGTGGGACATGACCCAACTGCGAAGCAAGGATTTGTCTGCCATCCCGGAGTGTGATACACGAAAACTCTATAAAACTCAGGTGATCCTGCAGATCGCTCCCGAAGCAGCGATCTTTGGCTTACTTAGGCTGGAGGCTAGGCCCCCAGCCCTTGGTCTTTGGAATGGTCTGTAGGGTCCCAGCTGAAACATCCATAGATGTCCACTCCGGGAGGCTCCGAGGCGGCCGGTCCCCCGTGGTCGTTTGCGTGGCAGGTGGCTTCGATCTGGACGCCCGGCACCCAGAAGGGGCGGAGGTGACGACGAACACTTCCCGCGATGCCATGGCACCTGATAGGTAAATGACATGTTACTTGGAGGAAGTCTTGATCCCCATGCTTCAAGCATTGTTTCACATTGCTTCTTACAGCTCAGCGGTTCTGCCGGAAGATCTAGAGAATCACGTGAACCCTCTGAAAACTCTCGCTCAACCTCTGGGCAGCCTGGTTTTAAGGCTGACAAACATATTTTCCCGAACATGTTGGCGTTAATGATATGGAGCTCAGCTGAGCTCATTCACGATGCCGGCCCTGTACTTAGGGATTCCTCAATTCAATTTGGGGACTAAAAATAGTTAGTGCAGATGAATCGTTGCTCAGTTGCAGATTTGACCCAGTCATGATCTCAGAAGGTTAGCCCGAAAGGTTCACCTGCCCCTGTCACAGTTGTCCCCCCAAATGGTGGTGTTCCCTCTCGGTGTTCCTGTAAACCCAAACAAAGGGGTACCAACTCCGAAAAAGACACCCATTTGCAGATGGAACATGTGCTCGGGGGACTCGCCTGAGGCGGAGGTGCCAGTGCCCGGCCACTCAGGCGAGGCCGTTTTTTGGGTAAGCGTCCACCCTGCTTGGCTGGGGTAATGCCAGATGCATGAACAGTTTTCGTTGCGGAACTTGGCTCTTTTTGTTCCTTTTGGCTTTTAGCCTTTTTTGGCTTCCTTCACGTTTTCTACCGACCAGCAAATAGTTTAACCTGCTGCAGGTCCAAGTCTGGCCAAGTCTTTGCGTGTCCGCTATTTTAAAGACACACCATTTTAGCCAGAATAAAAAAAAAAAAAAACGCTAGATGGCCGCATGATATGTTTACAGCCTCTTGTATTGGACGTACTCCAGAAAGAAGCAAGGTGCTACAAAGTATGTATGTGAGAACGTAACTAAGTCCATAACGAGGCATATGTGATGCTTGTCTTTAACTCATGTAGAAGACTCGTTCAAACACAATTCTGAATCCTCATGCCAGGATGGTAGTCGTTTCCCTTCTTGTAGTGTCCTTCTGCGCATGCAGAATAGGACTGAGGATCCCCCAAGCTGCATCAGCTTTGTACTTGTCAAACAAGAATATCAACGCTCTGGTCATGAAGAAATAGCAACTGTCGGAGCAAGAGCACCTCAAAGGATGATGCCAAGCAAGCATGTGTCTGGCGCCTGTCGAGTCGCATGCAAATGAACGCACTTGTCACGGAGCTCGAAGCAAAGTTAGGATGTTGCTGGTTGCCCGACGTTGAACGCGCTTGCAGCTTCAGAAGTAGAGAGCTTAAGATCAATGCCGCTTTAGATGTATTCCTGCATGAATACACATCTGATTAGCTGGTATATGTTTGTGAGACTGGCATAAGAGAACACACAACCAAAGCACACAAAGAGTACGTAGCCTTCAGCAATGACAACACATCACATGCCGCAACCAACACTCCATGGCTCCAAGAACACCTTAGCCTAGGTCCCCAGCTAGGTGCCCTTTCTCACCCCTTTTTGTGGGGGAGGCTTCTCCTACTAAACTAGACTACAGAACAAGTTGGTACCAGCATGCTAGCTTCTCTACTGGAGGATCTAGTAGCAGTTCCGATTAGCTATTCCAACAATTCCAACCAAAATGGATGCAAGGTGACATGTTTTTGCCAAAGGGGGCACATGGGCCTCACGAACACCAGGCCGTACCCCATGCCCACGCCCAGGCTTTGACAGCCACATTGTGACCCCAACTTGGAGAGCGCCGGCAACCTCCCCCCCACCTCTGGAAACAATGGGCTCAAATCGAACGGGCGTCTGCGTTGAACCCTTTCCAAACCGAACAGAACGATGTTTGCAAACACAATCGAAATAGGAGTTTGGCTCGCCAAACTCCCCATTCTGTTCCGAAATTCCACTTTTGCCCAAACAGGTGGTATAGTTATATTGATATACAAGCAAACACATTTAGTGAACCTTAAACTGTAACATGATGCATTCGAGAGGTTCCGGAAAAGATGGGAGTGGAATGGACCCCAAACAAACAACAGAACTGGTGTGTGTGTGTGTGTGTGTGTGTGTGTGTGTGTGTGTGTGTGTGTGTGTGTGTGTGTGTGTGTGTGTGTGTGTGTTTGTGCGTGTGTGTGTGTGTGTGGGTGCGATTTGTGCTGCGTAGTGTTGTGGTGTTAATCCAGCTGGTCAATGTGGGGCCCATCTTGCTTTTTTGGGGAAACATGAGGATGTGTTGGTTGTTGCCACGGTCATTGTCGTGTGTTGGGTTGCTGCTGCTATTCTATCCTTACAGTACCCATTATTTTCGCAATCGCGGACTCGGTAAAAACATTGCTTGAGACCAACAGCGGAGATAGGCTTGGTGGAGCTGGAAGCGCCTACTTAAAGGTGTGTCTTTGTTAGGAGGGCCCGTTTGAAGGTTTGCTGTCTCGAGGATCTTTCTCCAAATGACCATTTTCTCTTTGAGGCCACACCCAAACAACTTTTTTCAAGACCCAAAACGGTGGAAGCTTCCATTTGCGGAAGACGTTTTGAATATTCCCTGTTGGTTTTAAAGGCAATCTATCACCACCGGACATATTGCTTTTTGTTTGCTTCGGCGGGGGGACTTGAGCGGCTCAGTGTTAGTTCCCGTCCTATCGGTGCTAGGCAACCCGCCTCTCTGCCGCGAAAGAGACAAGCACAAAAAAAGGCAAATGAACGGACAGTTTCACAAATGAAAGTGAACACACTTCGCAAGTGAAAGGCAGGTTGTCCGCGAAATGGACAAACACACAACAAAAACAAGACACTAAATGAACGGAAAACAAGTTAACACAATGAAAGGGAAGGTTTTCCAGTGGAAAAGGCCGCAGTTCCAAAGAAGAACATCCGCCGCTCCCGCCGCGCGCGTTCTCGGCCAGCGCCGTTGTCCTCGGCGCCCTCCCCGGCCTCGCCGTCGGAGATGCCGGCGTGGGGCCTGGGACGTGGAAGGGACACCTGGCGTCGTTTTGGACGGCGCAGATGCATGAAGACGTGATTTTGAAGCGGATGACCCCCAAAATTGTGAGAGACCTATCGGATTTTAGGGTGGATTTGACCCTTGTTCTTTTAAATCGGCAGCCCGCTCCCGGGTCTTTTGTTGGCTTCTGGAAAGAAGGATCCCTGACGAGAATGGGGACCTTGCCACTATATAAAGGGCTGAAACCTGGCAAATATTATGTGAGTTGGTAACCAACGGCACCAAGGGTATGAACAAGGAGCAACAATGTAAGACCCCCTGAACGGGACACGTAGCCTTAAAGGCCACACATGGCCGCCAATAAAGGCCATAATCATATCGGTGGGGGCGCCCGGAATGCTGGGAGGTTTGGCCGCCCCATTGCTTAAGGGGGGTAGGGGGGTTCGTTTCATGTTTTCCCTGTTGGTTTGAAGGGAAATACTTGTAGGTATTCCAAAGTACACAAAATGTTGGCTGGTTTGTCAAGACAGTTGCTTGACTAAGCATTGGCTTTTCTTCATCAAACGCACAAAACGGCGGCGTACTTGCCCGACAGAACGCGGTATTTTCACCGATGTCTCCCAACTGGACCATAGACAAGTCAGGACATGCTAACTGAGCGTCATAATTGTGTTTTAGGAGTTGGAGTTTCTAAAGCGGCCGGCATTCGCAGGGTCCCAGGGTAACTGTCAGCGCGAGGCCGGGCCCCAACACAGCTCAGACTGGTTGGCAGCGAACTAGCGCCCATTTGCGCTCAATGGAACGTATTTGGAAGTTTCACCATGAATGTGAAGAAGTTGTGTCAAATGTGCAAAGAATAGCGCTGCTCGCAAAATACATAGCGCAAAAAAAAGCACACTCATCATGGTTCCAGCTAGGGTGGCCCAAAAGCAGTGGTTCAGAGGGACAATTTTTCTGAGTGGGGATGGGTGATGTCGTCCTTTGCAAGCTCAAGCACGGTACAGCAGCTTCCGGACTTCGAGCTTAGACGATGATAGCGGAAGTCCAGAAGTCTTGACAAAGCTGCTCAAGGGCGTAACAGGACACCAACTCATCGGCACCTGGCAATTATTATTTTTTGGTAGAGGTTTGGGGAGGACAGGGGGGGACAAGCCAAGTTCCCCCCAAAATTCCGGGGAAATCAAAAACTCTCAGGTCTTTTTTGGGGGAGGCCAATTTTGGTTTTGTTCGTGTCACATAGTTCAAAAGCCTCGAGGTGCCCACGGAGATGCCCGAGTCTCCGAAGGACCTGCCCGAGGCTCCCACCATCGAGGTGCGAGTTGCGGAACTCCTTGGGCGCGTTTTGCGGCGGCGACGTGTCAGGGGATCCAAAGCTTCCCAAGGCCTCGATTTCCCCAAGGCCTCGATTTCCCTAGGCCAGTTGCGAAGAGCTGAGATGCCCGAAGAACAGGTGATGTTTGGAGATGAAAGGACGATCTTCGCACCCCCCCCCCCAAAAAAAAAAAAAACGCAGTTGGGCAAAAGTAGGTGTCTTGTCTACCGGGCGCGTAATGGGCCCTTTTATTTGTCCTAGGTTTGGCAAGGCGTTGTTCTACGTGGTGGAGTGCCCAGTCAGTCGGTTGGTCAATCGCCAACCCTAAACTTGACCTAGCCCAAGCTAAGCCTACCCTTAAAACGCCGCTGAACCAACCCTAATGTCGGTCCAAACTCAACGATCCCTGTTTCCACCTAAAGGCACCTTTGCCTCCAAAAGTCAACCCTTTGCGGACGCTGCGGTTTTGACAAGGCTCCCGGGGAAAGACAAAAAAAGCGAACCCTCTGTCCAGCCGAGCCGAAGAAACATCGCCCTGCCGACCGCGCCTGTCATTCAGGTGCCGACAGTGGCGACGATCTCACCTCGAGGCCGCGAACCCAGCAAAATCCACTTGGGTGTGGCTCAAAATGTTTCCACTTACCAGGGTTCCATTTTGGGTACCAGTTGGTTGAGCCACAGCCACTTGGGTGCTTAAACGACTTCAAAAAAAACAGGAGAGCATGTTGTGTTGAGGCTTCACTAAACTTGGATGAAAGCCATTGTAAGTGGGTTGTAACCATGAGGACGATGACCCCAGTTGAGTACTGCTCATGTAGCCATGGTTATTCCCTGAGTTACCTGAACATTCGAGGGAGCAGGCAAACTCAGCTGAATTTTTACGGGAACTATGTTTCTGCCCAAACGACGAGCGGTCTTGGGGAGCCATTGACGGTTGTGGTTTTTTTCTTTCGATGGGTGTTGTTTGTTAAAGGGGCAGCACCTTCAAGCCAAAGGCCATTTTTTGGGCCGGACAAACCCATTTCGTATCGCAGGTTTTGGGCATGTAGGTGTCCTTTTGCTTGTTGCTTTTGGTAGAAAGTTGAAGGCCCTGGTTGACCTGGTGGTTTCATCTACCAGGGCCATCTATTTTCCTAACTTCTGGGCTCAAGGCAAGACCTTCATGCACAAACCCAGCTGGATCTCCGGGCGCCGATCCTCCACTTGGCTGCTCATTTGTTTTTGACCGCCTGTTGAAATTGCATCCTCTTCGGGGTGTCTCCAAATGGATGCCGGACCTGCCGCCTGGAGGGGTCCACCCGGTGTAGCTTTTTGTGAGGGGTACCCCCTGTTCCCTTCTCTGGCGGTTTTAAAGGGAAGCCAAAACGAAAGGGAAACCCGCCATTTGTGTGGTCTCCTTTCAGACACACACTGTCAATGCGCTGATTCTTCAGAAACTTGCTCGGTGGCGGTAGCCTGCAAGAGATTCAGGAAGATGCGCATACTGCGCCAGTCGCGGCTTCCCTTAAGGCTACAATAGAATGATTTTCCTAGTAGATGCAACAACCAGGTCAACCAGGAATGGGAATCCATCTATTTTCTACCACATCAAAAAGGACACCTATGGTAGCCTCAACTTAACACCCCCAGTTCTCCTCGGTGTGCCGTCTCATTCAGCCAAGTTTATTGAACCATGTCAAGTACGGCTGCGAAAACTGGGCTTCGGACTGCACCCCCCCCCGGTCTAATTTTTACAGGGGGACCCTTTAGTGGACATCATTTGCGGCTTTATGTCCACCAACCGAGGTAGTTCACGTTTTAAGCTCCATGGCCAAATGTAGAAATCCCAACTCAGCAACTCACTTCCTGAGTTGGACTTCAGTCACTTGTTGGGTTTGGACGATTTTAGCGGAAACCAGCGAGTTTGGACTGTTTTTGCGCCAAACCACTCGTTCGGAAGTGATTGGCGATGGATGCCCTTTGACACCAAATCGGTTGTGGGAAATGTCTTCGTCGCCTGGCTCCGTTGGCTCCTCCGGAGGTGTGCCGGCCGCCCGGGTCCTCAGCTACGAGAAAGCTTTTAAAGCTTCTTTGTTTCATGGTTTGTAGCCGGACTTGTCTAGGTCCCCCAGTAGTGCCTTTTTACCCTTTTTTGGGGGAGGGTTCCGCTACTAAAGTAGACTACAGAAAAAGGGTACCCTTATTCTAACCTCTCTACACAACTAGGTCCTCCAGGGCGCGGCGTCTTATACTGTCCGAGTAGCATCGCGCTACTCCATACCATCGCCTTTTGCATGGTTTATAACAATAATAGGGAAGGCAAGTTTCGTGACCACATGTGGTATTTGTTTGGCGAATCCACTCAGGAAGTGAGAAATGGCAAGGGAGATCCTTTGTGGTTGTCTCAAGACGTTGGAGACCTGGTTTGATGTGTGTTTCATAGAGTGGCGTCTGCACCTATTATGGCGTTTGCACCTTGGGGTTGCGTTGAAAGAGCGGCCAAAAGGAGCAGACTTGGAGTCATCCCCTCATTTTGGATGGCAGACATTGGGGCTCCGACCTCCCCTGTTCGTGTCACAAGAACGGCCACAAAGAGTGTGGTCGAGCACTCATTTGGGGCTATAACTCTGGAAAACGGTTTGGCTGTGGCGAATCTGTTGATCCACCCCTGTACATTAAACGAGTACGAACAAAAATACTAAAAGAAAGTTCAGGGGGAATTGGTGAAATTCAAACCCGTTTTTTGGGTAAACATGAGCGATTTTCCTTGCCAGGAGGCTCCGCTTGGGAGGTCTGCAGGCTGGAGACATGGTTGTCAAGCCACAAACAAGGGGAAGCTCCAAACAAGGACACTCGCATGGGTGCTGGGTGGCTTCTCTTTTTTTAGCCACCTAACACGTTTTGTTTTTTGGCTTCCTGTTAACACAACAAAAAGGGGGTCGCTCCCCTCAAAAACAGACACCCAAAAGGGTGTGACTTTAAGTAGGGAACCTGTTGAAGAGGGGTTGGTGGACATAAACCCCCATGTCAAGTTAATTCCCTTTTTGCGGGACCGTGCCAGAGGGAAACCCTTTGCCCAAAAGGAGGAAAGGAGACAATTACGGCCGGGCAGCTGAGCTTGAGTTATGGTGCATGTTGACGCAGGATTTAGGACTACTGTCGATTAGGAAGGTGCATTTGAGAGGGAACGCCTTCACTTTTGGGCCAATCTTCCCCAGGTTCACTCATCCGGGGGGAGTGTGAGCAGCCCAACAAGTACAAACCACTTTTTCCCAGGATATGTCTGTAGCATCAGGTAGCCTTTGTCACTGAGAAAAACAAGTAATCTGCAGAGTTACTCGGTATATGCCAAAAACTTACGAAGTCAATGGAATCGCTCAAGGCATGGAATCGATGTGATCAAAACTGAACGTCGCAGTTAGAATTGCAGTTGAGATCTACATTATTTGGAGCCCCGCAAGCGCGAATGCAGTTGAAGTCGGCAGGATTCTTTGTTAGATCGAGATTGGTTTAGCATTGCCTACCTGGAGTTTAGTATTGGGAGATGAGAGGTCGGGACAAGATGTTTTGGTTGTTTTAGATACGGTATGCTTTATCAACAAACCTGCCAACGCTTGCTATCATTGCCCTTTCTACAAATATGATGATAGGCAGGATGAAATCCACTCAGACCTCCAGTGCCCTTATTATTTGTGTGGCTTGCCCTTGAAGATCCACGAAAAGGGAGTTCTTCTCATGGCGGGGCCAAGCTTGCATGCAGGAAATCTTAGATGGACCAACCACGATGCCCCCTTCGGGGCTGAAGCCTTTCGGTTCCTTGGGACCTGCTCCGGGTGAATGGGGCTTTTGGGGGATAGGATCCCTTCTTTTTGGAACCTTGTCATGAAAAGCCTCGCAAGCGCGAGCTCGACGAGACTAGCCTTTGAATTGTCCCGGTCCCCAAAATGGGTGGCCTTTTTTTGTTGTTGGTAGCCCCTTTTTGTTGCTGGCTTTAAAGGGGAAACCAACAGAGAAACCACATGTTTTGGGGGTCCGAGTCCGAAACAAAGACGACTCACCCATATGGGTGGGCCCTTTATTTCCGGGCCCTGGCGGGCGAAAAAGGTTCAAAAGCACCGCCAGGCATGTCCTCGGCTCTGGGCTCCTCCACTCTGGGCAGTTCCGGTTTCGCCTCCCCTTCGGAGATGCCGGCAGGGAGACTCAGAATCAGCGCATTTGGGCACCAATTTTCAGGGCAGAAGGCTTCAATTTGTGTTTGTTCTGAGGGGTTTGGGTTTGGAGGAGCTCGGATGCCTGGGACCGCCTTGCTATGGTGGCAGATGTGTGGGTAGTTTGCAGTAGTTCTCCTGGCCGTTAAAAGCTGATCAAAACACGAGGGAAGAAACATTGGTAAAGGCTTGCCTTTGGTTCCCCTCCAACACTGGTCGCAATTCTAAACCTCCGGAGTGTTAGACAGAAGCAAAGCATCTGATGGAACGCTTTTTGGGCTTCCCCTTCCCCCACTGCTACACGGAGTCTAGCTTTTGAAAGCAGGGACCCTACCAACCTTCACCAAAAAGATCTCGCACAAGGGTGAACGGGATTACGTGGCCAAACTTGGCCCGAATGAGGACATGGCTGACCATGACAACATACCATCGCATTGCGCTCTTCCATTGAGGTAGCGGTGGCTATATAGTGGCTGCATATTGGCAGACTGGCTGAACCATGCTTTTTGAACTCCTGTACTCATGCATAATGTTTTGCAGAAATACTTTTTCGGTCTTTGATCAATGAAGGCGTTGACTTTTGAAGAGGTTCCAAGCATTTCAAGATCAGAAGGTTTTACACGTGTGCAGGTTGTAACTTTTCTACTGCAAGTCCAGTGTGTTGACAACTTGTCAAGGGGTCTTACAGGCTTGCTACTGGGGTGTTCAACCATTTTACTGGCCGTGGTGGTGGAACCAACCCCAGTTACTCCAGTTCTGGACAAACCCCAGTTGGCCCAATTACAGCAGAAACCCAGCTACACCAGAAACCATGATTATAATGCACTTACCTAAGGTTGGTTGCAGGGGTCGGGTGAAAAAAAACAAATTACACTTGGGTTCCTAAGCTACTAAGTCGGTTGAAAAGCCCCCCCTTCGGGGGCGGTAGGATCCGAAAGAAACAAACAAGACATCTCCGAGGTGCCCACGGAGATGCCTACCTCCCCGGTGTCGCCCTCCGACGAGAGGCGCTTGGAGGCGCAAGATGGGTGTCAGAATGCGCGGACAAGGACCCTTGCTTGCTGGTGCTCAGTAGGGAATGAGAAATTGGAATGACCCCGAGAACAACCATGCAACGGGTGGTTTGCTTCAAGGGAATCTTTGGGCTCATTCCTGCAGTCCCTACCTATCGCACCTGCAAGTAAGGCGGGGATTCATGTGCACCAACCACTTTTGAGGTGGCTTCCTATTGAAATTCATGGCCACGTGGACAAGTAAGGGCACCCACAAGGTTCAAAAAGCGAACATGTGAGTCAAGTCTGGCCGTCAGGGGTGGGGATCGGAATCCTGCTTGTCATCCCCTTTTTGGTTGTCAAGTTACCAAGATTTTTTTCTTTACGTTGGGTAATGTTTAAACGGGAGATATATAGGGAGCTCTTTTTTTTGGATGAGTTCACTGAGTCGGAGCAAGAACACGGCTTGCCACGATGGTCCTTTACATGGGGATTCAGTTCTACATTCATGTCATTTGCAATGTTGGCTACTATCATTGTGACATTTGCAGAACTAGGGGAGAATCATGTGTGCGTGTCATCCGATCGAGCCCTCCTTTTTGGCAATCATGTTTGAACAACATCCCAGCAGTTGACTTTTGATTTCCAGGCCCAATTATGCAGGATGGAGGTTATGACATTGTTCCTTTTATGACTTGATTTGGGCTGAATGTAGCCCCACAATCCCATTATCATTATTGAACGGCCCTACACGAACAGGAATCCCTGGTAAGATAAACCCATGTGAGCAGAGTGCCAAAACCGTGAAACCATTTTGGGGCCATGCTTATAGTTTATCGACAAGAGAACCTTGGTTGCAAAATCTGCAACTCCAAGGGTCACCGCAGGTGCTGCTGTGGACAAGTAGATGGCAAGGGTTAAACAAGAAGTCAAACTCAAACAGGTAGAAGTTCGAAGCCATCTACGTTCCACCAAACTGACCCAAATCCACCTCAAAGGACGCCTGTGTGAAGATTCAGATTCCTTGAGGGCACCGTTGAGCACTCATGGCCCTAAAACATGATCACAACGTCAAATGGGACCACCTTATCAACTTGGAGAAGGAGTAACCTGCGTTGATCAACCAAAAGGAAAAATGTAAGGACCCCTCAACAAAACTAGTTTCGGAAGCCAATCATGACAAAACCACTGCGGTCGAGTCACATATTAAAAAAGGCTCAATTGGGCGTAGCCCGTGTGTCTTTGTTTCTACAATTTGCTCAGAATCACTGCCAAGTGACAGGCTCCCAGAACGGCACACACCTGGTTGTCCGATTTAAGTTGGAATCCGTTTGCTAGAGCTCACGGGTCCCCTAAGAAAACTATGCGGCCTTTCGCGAAGCTCCGAAATCGCCCTGCGATTTCTCTGTACCAGGCGCCTACGGTTGATCTGGAGAACTTTCCCGCCGCAGGCGGAGTCTGTTGGGATTCCGGGATGCAGATGGCAGCCAGTAGTACATGTTTTGCCCTTTCTATGATTTTTTAGTAACCTGCTATATATGTTTCAGGCCGTGGGGGGGGGGGTACCCTAGCCGGGCGGGGGGTTGGTGGCCTGGGGACTGGAACTTTTATGGGGGGAATCCTCTTCTGCAGCCCTTTTCCCTTTGGAGACTCGAAACCAAAACACGTGCTTTGTGCCATGGCATGGCCACAAGAGGTTTTGGGTCTGCCGCAAGTGGCTCAAGGAGTGTCTTTTTTTTTAAGGCTGGAGGCACGTGGAAGTGGTAAACCCTTGTGGCTTGGGCAAATGGTTTGTTTGGTTGGGTTTTTCTTCATCTTGGCCAGTTGTATTGCGGCTCACATATGGCTTGCTTGGTATCTCTGTTTAAGCTCATTTTCAATTCGTCCTGAAATGGTGTTGGGTCATGAATCATGTAGTTATGGTCGCCTTAGGAGTTACTCTCTCTGAGTGGAGAGGGCTTGGGTTCCCCGATTACTCAAACAACTACCATCTCTATAGCAATCTCCTTTTGGGGATCGGACCCCTCAACAAAATCGTTTTTGCTTGGCAGCCGACGCCTTGGGGTCGGTCAACATATGGCTGTGCCATGTTTGGGAAACTCTCAAAAGGGATTGGTTTGATACGAAACCTCCGTTTGGAGGGTCGCCCTATTCTGACACATACCTGCATATCCTTATCTGTTTATCCCGACGCTCACCCTGGGAGGGTCCGACCCCTGGGTCCTCGGTACACCCCAAAACCCTAGAAGAGCACCTGTCTGATGGACGTAGTTGCAAATGTCGTGAGCCTTTGGGATGCCCAATTGGGGGGGACATGGGGAGTCTCAGTTCCTCCAAGTTTGAGGACTTTTGGTTGGCCTATGGGAAGTGAGTCACTCCAGCAGCAAGTTTTGGGATTCGCATCCGGAAACCGTGCAGGTCAAGCGGCGCCCTTAGCCCGAGTCTCAGCTGGTTTCCGGGACCGGCTTCGGTGTTGGGCTCTAAATTTGCATTGGGCGTTGATTTCTGGCGTTGTTGTGGGATGTTGATTCTGGGGTGTTGGTTGGGAGATGCTCTTTGGGGTGTTTGGTTTGGGTGTTGCTTGGTGGTTGATTTGGGGGTGTTGTGACTTCTGAAACCTGCCGGCCTAACCTCGTTGTGACTTCTGAAACCCTTGTCATTTCGTCAAAGACCTGACCTTGGGGCTTGTCTTCCCCATCTACTCGCGGTCCCAACGAACCAGACGGCCGGGGTTTTCCCTTCAAAGTCAACTGCCAATGCGCTGTGGCCACGGGAGGTCTGGCGTTTGGGGTGATCGCCTTTGTGTTTGTTGCTCTTGGGGCAAGTGAGCCACAATCAAAACCCGGGTAAGTGAAGGTTAGTAAGGGACGATCCCAGCCATAAATAGCTGCGGCCGCCTTAGTTCTGTACATGGGTTCTGGGTCGACCATTTTTGCTCCCGGGGTTTGAGCAAGTGACTCAAGAGAGGCAGTGGTCGGGTGCCACTGGCTCTCAGTGAGTGACATATCCCCAGTGAGAAGCTTGATCTGTGACGCCGAGGCTTGTGCATCCAGCCATGTTTGTGGGTAATTCAGGCGGGTTGGTGTTTCTTACAGCGGGGTGGCAACCCAACTAATCAAAGGGTACTTTTCCCGTTTCAGACCCC